TTCTTACAATTCATAAGCCCGAAGAGAAGAAAGACATTTTCACCCATACAAAACACTATTGTAACGGCTTTTAGGATATTCATTGTAGGTTATAAATACACTGGTGTCTAGGATAACATGGTGATGTTCTGAAGAACTTTGCGCACTCTCTGTACCTATATGGACGTTCTCCTGTATGTATACGTTCATGGTCATGTAGTTAGGATGACTGTGTGGATGACCTTACACATGTCTTGCGCGTAAAAGGTATTTATGCAGAATGGATACGTTCATGTCTGCGTAAGCTGGACGATTGTGTGAACGATGTACCACAAAGGTCCTTATCCAGAATGGATACGTTCATGTCTGCGTAAATTACACGACTGAGTGAACGATGTGCCACATTTCTTACACTTGTGCGGTCTCTCTCCGGTATGAGTACGTTTATGAACAAGTAGATTGTATGACGTAGAGAAAGACTTCTCGCATACCTCACACTTTACTGGTCGATCTCGAGTATGAGTACGTTTATGAACGCAGAGATTGCCTAACTGAGTGAAAGACTTCCCGCATACATCACATTTGAATGGTCTTTCTCCAGTATGAACACGTTCATGCACGCGGAGGTCAGAAACGTACTTGAACTCTTTTGGGCAAAACTGACACATGTGTGATGTTTTACACTTAGAATGCTTATACAGATCCTGATTCTGAGCCATTACCTTAGAAGATTCAGAATGTTGTCCGATAGGACGCATTCGTTTAACTGGCATGCCAAACGCATCAGGTTGTCCCCATGGTTCAAATGTCCTTCCAGCTGAAACTCGAGTATTTGACGCCGTGGCTGGTGTTGAAACGTCCATTTCAATATGAAGAGACGGTATTACAGACGATGCCCGTTTCTCATACCCGCTGAACGTTGAAGTCCAGTTCACCACGTCTTCCATTTCAGATAATGTACTAGACGTTGCTTCATTCCTTTCGCTTTTGGCGGCGGTTCGAAATGTCTGGTCGAAAGCTGGCTGATGATTAGAAATACTGGCTGAAGGAATTGGGTTCCTCTTCCATTTTATCAATGGCGGAGGGGAAACAGGAATTATGGTACTGGTATACTCATGGGGTATACTACTCGTGCCTTCTATGTTTTCCAGTGAAACGGATCTCATACACGTCGATGGTGGAACGGACGATGGACCATGGTCTCTAGAAGTTTGGTTGAGCTTAATCCTCTTCAACTTCATCAATGGCGGCATTGGTGGTATTTCACTAGATGCCACACTGCTGTCAGACATCGACTCCTCCAAGTCTTCCATTTCTCACTGAACTGCAACGACTCTGGAAGGGAAATTGTATACCGAGCCAATATTACTCGTAGCCACTTCACGAAGTGAATTTAAACTAACGGATTCAGAATGGTTCGCTCTATGCACTTTAATATCGTGCTCTAGTGTGAAAAGCAATATTAGTTGATAAAAATAAAAGATGTGTTGCCATAATTCTGGCAGCCCGCAATGCGTGACAATTGTACGTATGCTCTCAACATCAATAACATGGAAACTTGCTGTAACCATCTCAAGATGTTATGGACGTTTTCCAGGGGAGAATCTTGTCGTTTGGCGTGATAAATGATCATTCCTACTGTTCTTTGTCAGTGTCAACACAAAGCGTTGTTGTTCAGCATTGAACTGCCATTCTGACACAAATAAAGGATGTATCACTCACCAAAAATTGACTTATCACTCCCCCCTCACGTGACCGCGGACTCCTGCATATACACTCACACAATAACCACACAACTCTTTGGGGATAGCGCGCTTATTGTATTATGCCAAACTTGACACGCTGAGTCCAGCTTGACTCAGCTGAGTCCCTAACTGCAATTTACTGCTCTAACATGAAGCCGTGCCTGGAAGAAGGGAAAGAGCGAAAAAAGAAAAAAAAAATTCTGGCCTTCTGCAAGCAATAGCAAGTAATGAGTGACGGCTGTGTAAAGTCGCACAACCATGCAGTCGACCGGATGATGGTGAGTGTCCGGCACACATCTTGCTCTGCTGCTCCACCTGCGCATACCTGATACGGTGGTGCGCTTACGGGCGGGCTGCCTGGGCCCCAGATGCCTCCTTGATGCGCCACGGAGTGCCGTCGAAGCACCTGTATCACTTCGGTGATCCAAATGCGAATGCAGCCTTGCCGGTCGCCCGCCGGCCTGCCGCCTACGCGACCAGCCTGAGACTGGCCCTGCCGCATTTGGCGCTTCTAAACGCTGCGATCCGGTAGACAGCTCACTGGGCTGCCAAATACGTGACTGGCTTGAGGACAGTTCCATACTGGGCAGGGCGCCCAGCTCAGGTCACACGCCGTAGCGGCGTGAGCTGGGCGCGGTGAGGGTTGGTGATAACTACAGTTTCCTCCTTCCTCCTCCGGAAACTTCCATTTTTCAGAATGCAAAAGGTCTATTGCTGACTAGACGTCCCGGAGGGGTAAACTTTCCTGCACAGGTATGAGTTTGGAGGTACATGTACATATACATTTTATTTCAGCATGGTGAAGTGGGAAAATTGTAAATTAATTTTTATAGAAAAAGAAAAAAGGTTGATGTGTGACATGTCCTCAGTGCAAGAAGTTGTGTTCTTCTATCTGCCAATGAAAGGTTTATGGTAAATGAGGACGTGCATGTATCTGTCTGTTTTGTCCGCCCATGTATTTTGGTTATTTTCAAGATAATCATTAATAAAATGTTGTTTCGTCAGGGGTCATAGCCCTCATCACTCTGGGATGCTGGCGTGGCTAAGAGGTGCTGTCCCAGGAACTCTTCTATGGTCAGGCAATGTTGGATTGAAGGAGCTTTATTCGTAGCTTGGTTTAACCACTGTGGCAAGATTAATTTGGAGACCCATAAATCATGTGATGTTTTGACCATTTTTGGGAGAATGCCAGTTTCAAAGTTCCCTTCGGACAACTTTTCACGCGCTTTGCACAGTCGATTTACACACCAAGGAAACGTACCTGCAAAATTTGAGCGAAATCAGACAGATTGACACGCACACATTCTCTGGTCTTGTCACACATGCTCTCTAAAAAGTCCCCAACCCTTCGCACAGAACTTCGATCTCAATGAAATATTCTCACATCAGGGGTTATGCTAGAATAATATTATTAACCTCTGACATAATACATGAGAACAAGACCATGGAATAGAACAGAAATGCAGAAGTACATAAACCATATTATCAGCTTGCGAATCTGCACTGTCATAGTCTATCGCATGTGTTGCATGTGCTGTGTGAATAGCATCAAAGAGTGGAATGTATTTTATACTGCTGCGAATGTACACTATCTTTTTAACGGTCACACACACACACACACAAAGACGTACGCGCGCACACACACACACACACACACACACACACTCACTATTTTGTTCGTAAATTCATAAGCGCGAAGAGAAGAAAGGCAACAACTCTGGAAGGAAAATTGTATAACAAAGCCAATAATACTCGTAACCAATTCGCGAAGTGAAAAAAAATACGAATGCAAAATGTTTCGCTCGGTGCACTCTAATATCGTGTTGTAGTGTGTCAAAAGCCATATTAGCTGATAAGAATGGTTTTGACATAATTCAGGCAGCCCGCAATGCGTGACAAATTTACGTATGTTCTCAACTTCAAGTACATGGCACCTTGCTGTACACATCTCAAGCTGTCAAGGACTATTGCATCCTTTGTCGACCAAAAAGATGTTAGTTGCCAAAGAGAATCTTGTCGTGTTAGGCGATACTGTAAATGAACACTCCAACAGTTCTTTGTCAGTGTCAACACTACACGTTGTTCTTCAGTACTGAACTGCCATTCTGACACAAGTAACGGATCTATCACTCCCTAAATATTCTTTTTCAGTATGCAAAAGGTCTATTGCTGACTCGACGTCGCGGAGGGGTGAGCTTTCCTGCACAGGTGTGAGTTTTGATGTACATTGTGTTTCAGCATGTTGGAGTAGAAAAATTAAAATTGTTTTTTTTTTCAAGAAAACGCAAAAAAGGAGGATGGGTTACATGTCCTCAGTGCTAGAAGAGGTGTTTGACTATCTTGATGTTTTGTTGTTGTTTGTTTAGTGTCGAAGACAACTCAAAATGTTCCTATTTCCATGATATCGACTAAAAAGGAGTACAAAGTATAAAAGAAATCTGACAATTAATAGTTCTTGCTAAATGATGACGTAGCTCTCTATTTTGTCCGCCCTTGTAAATTGGATTTTTAAAGACGATCATTCGTGGCCTCAGGGTGTGATGGCCCTCATCTTCTGGGATACTTGCATGGCTAAGCGGAGCTGCCCCAGTCATGCACTTTTCTGAAGTGAGACAATGTTGGCTTGATGGAGTTTTCTTCGTAGCTTAGTCGTATACGCTGTGGCATGTCTCGTTTGTCGACCAATAAATCATGCGATGTTTTCAGCAATGTTTAGGGGTATGTCCATTCCAAGGTTCCCTTCGGACACCTTTTCAATGGATTTGAACAGTCGATCTACCCCCCCCCCCCTCCCCTCCCCCAAGGAAACCTACCTGCCAAATTTGAGGGAAATCAGAGAGATCCACTTGCACACATTATCTGGTCGTTTAAAACATGGTCTCTTAAAAGTCAACAAACGCTTCGCACACATCTACGATCTGAATTATTAAACTTTCTCAGATCGAAGGCTATGATTGAATATGATTATTAACTTCTGACATAATACATGAGAACGACACCATGGAACAGAACACAAATACAGAATTACATAATCAACATCAGGTTGCGATTCTCTACAATCATAGCTTATCATGTGTGTGGCTAGGACCAGACTTGTGTGAATACCATCAAAGAGTGATTTCTTAAATGCTGCAAATGTACACTATCTTTCAAACAGACACACACACTCTTTCTCTCTTGTTTTTACAATTCATAAGCGCAAAGAGAAGAAAGACATTTTCACCCTTACAAAACACTATCTAACGACTTTTAGGCTATTCATTGTAGGTTATAACTTATAAATACACTGGTGTCTAGGATAACATGATGATGTTCTGAGGAACTTTGCGCACTCTCTGCATCTATATGCACGTTTTCCTGTATGTATGTTCATGGTCGTGTAGTTAGGATGACTGTGTGGATGACCTTACACGTGTCTTGCACGTAAAAGGTCTTTATTGAAGAATGGATACGTTTATGCCTGCGTAAATTAGACGGATGTGTGAACGATTTTCCACATTTCTTACACTTGTGCGGTCTCTCTCCAGTATGAGTATGTTTATGAACACATAGATTGCCTGACTGAGTGAAAGATTTCCCGCATACATCACACTTGAATGGTCGATCTCCAGTATGAGTACGTTTATGAGCACAGAGATGGCCTGAATAAGAGAAAGACATCCCGCATAAATCACATTTAAATGGTCGATCTCCAGTATGAGTACGTTTATGAGCACAGAGACTACCTGACTGAGTGAAAGACTTCTCGCATACATCACACTTGAATGGTCGATCTCCAGTATGAACACGTTCATGCTCGCGGAGGCGAGAAACGTACTTGAACTCTTTTTGGCAAAACTGACACCTCTGTAATGTCTTACACTTAGATCTCTTGTACGAATCCTGATTCTGAGCCGTAACCTTAGAAGGTTCAGAATGTTGTCCGATAGGATGCCTTCGTTCAACTGACATGCCAAACGCATCAGCTTGCTCCCACAGGTCAGGCGTCCGTCCACCAAAAACTGCAGTATTTGACGCTGTGGCTGGAGTTAAGCCATCTATTTCGAACTGAAGAGGTTGCTTCACAGGCGATGCATGTTTCTCACGCCCGCTAAATGTTGAAGTCCAGTTCACCACGTCTTCCATTTCAGACTGTGCACTAGACGTTGCTTCATCCCTTTGGCTTTTGTCTGCAGTTTGAAATGCCTGTTGGAAAGCTGGCTGACGATTAGAAATACTGGCTGAAGGAATTGTCCATTTTATCAATGGCGGAGGAGACACAGGAATTGTGCTAATGGTAAACTCAGGGGGTATACTGCTCATGTCTTCTGTGTTTTCCAGTGAAGCGGATCTCATACACGACGCTTTCTCCATGTTTTCTTCTAAAAGGTTTGACGCAGGAGATGGTGGAACGGACGATGGACCATGCTTTCTGAACGTTCGGTTGAGCTTAGTCCTCTTCGACTTCATCAATGGTGGCATGGGTGGTAGATCATTAGAATCCACACTGCAGTCAGACATCGACTCCTCCAAGTATTCCATTTCTCACTGAACTGCAACAACTCTGGAAGGGAAATTGCATACCCGAGGCAGTATTACTCGTAGCCACCTCACGCAGTGAAATGAAATTTTTTGATGCAGAATGGTCTGCTCTGTGCAATTTAATATCGTGCTCTAGTGTGAAAAGCAATATTAGTTGATGACATTAAAAAATGTGTCTGCCATAATTCTGGCAGTCCGCAATGCGTGACAATTATAAGTAAAAAAAAAAAAATTATAAGTATGCTCTCAAAATCAAGTTCATGGCAACTTGATGGCACCATACCAAGATTTCTTGGACGTTTACATTAATTGTCGCACAAAAAGATGTTAGTTACTATGGGAGAATCTTGTCGTCTTAAGTGATAAATGATCACTCCTACTGTTCTTTATCAGTGTCAACACTACACGTTGTTCTTCAGTACTGAACTGCCATTCTGACACAAGTAAAGGATCTAGCACTCACCAAAAAAATCCTTTTCAGAATGCAAAAGGTCTATTGCCGACTAGACGTTGCGGAGGGGTGAGCTTTCCTGCACAGGTGTGAGTTTGGATCTACATTCTATTTGAGGTGGTGGAGTGGAAAAAGTCATAATGTGTTTTTAGAAAACGCAAAAAGGAGGATGGGGTACATGTGCTCAGTGCTAGAAGAGGTGTTCTACTATCTTGCTGTTTTGTTGCTGTTTGTTTATTTAGAGTCGAAGACTAAACAGGCAAGTTTGCCTAATTCCATGATATCGACTAGAAAGGAGAATAAAGTATAAATGACTATCTGGCAATGAATAATTCTTGCTAAATTAGGACGTAGCTCTCCATTTAGTTTGCCCTTGGAATTTGGCTCTTTTGAAGAGGATCATTTGTGGCCCTAGGGTGTGATGGTTCTCGTCTTCTAGGATGTTTTGGATGGCTAAGCGGAACTGCACCAGTCATGCACTTTTCTAAAGTGACCAAATGTTGGCTTGATGGAGTTTAATTCTTAGCTTGGTCGTATACGCTGTGGCATGTCTCGTTTTCAGACCCATAATTAATGTGATGTTTTGACTAATGTTTAGGGGTATGTCTGTTTAGAAGAGTATCTCTTTGTCGTTGTTACTATATTTAAATCGAGTGGCACATTCGTACTACAATTCTACGAGTGCTAGTTTGAAAATACGTTACGAATTTGAGCAATTGTTACGTTGTACAGCAGGTACGAACAATTAATATTTACATACTCACCGGTTTTCGTTTCGGAGTCCCGCGCTGTGACTCAGCTAATTTCTATTTCGTTTGCCTTGTATTGTCTGACTAGGGGCGCTGTCACCCCGTCGGGTGTGAGCACCCTTGGACAGAAGCACTTCACGACACAAGTGTTCATTTTCGTTTTTCCTCTTCTGCTTCTTCACAGTTTGAATGTGTGCTTTTTTCGTACTCTGCTCTCGATCGAACCATGCGCGGGTCGATCTCCATAATTTTATCTTCCGTTGCCATGACTGGCATTAGTACGCGTTCTGTACTCACTCGCTGCTGGGCACGCTTGCAGCGCGTCTTTTTTCTGTTGCAACCCAGTGCCTGCGTGCACGGTACGGGATTTGCGATGCCACATCAGCGTTGGTGTGTGACTGGTTGTGTTTCGTTGTTGTTTTGTTCTTTGCTGAGTGTGGTCGTTAAAACTGAGAAAGAACGGGTCGTTGACAAGGCGTGGTTTCGATGTGCATGCCCTCCTGTCAACTCCAAACTATTGGTAGCAGAGGATGGTTTTCACGGAGCCATCATGGAGGTAAAACTAGAAGACCTCGCACGGAAAAAGCGAGAGCTGAAAACGGATTTCACAAATACGAGGAGAAATTTGACAGTGGAGTCAACGAATGAGGTGCCGAACCAAGATGACGTAAAGGCATGGAGAAGCCACTTGACGACAGTGTATGACGAGACCAAGAAGGTCATCATGGAGTACATGGAAGCGGCGGTGGATACTGACTCTAGGAGACATGCTGGTCTCTAAAAGCAGTACAAGCATCTGGAAGGCCAGTATTCAGATGCCATGGAATTGGCCAGGAGTGTGCTCATCAGGAGCAGCAGAGCGAGCCTGGCAGCGTCGACCAGGCAGACTCCCAGTCCCAAGCAATCGCCACTGAGAGGGGCAACGCCGTTACCGGCGTCAGTGCGCGAGGAAAGCAGAGAAATTCTAGATCTGCGTGCGGCGCTCCAAGATGCACCGTTTATTGGTCGTCAGGACGATACGCGGGTTATGTTGCCCAGGGCTGCAGACTTTGGAGAACGGGTGAAAGTAGAGCCGGACAGTCGTTTTGTAATGTTCAGTGGTCAGCGTGTGGGGGAACCTGCCGAACCCTTCCCGACCGTTGCCATGACAACCGCGTCAGCACACGCGCCACCGCAAACGGATATGATCAACAGCAATGCATGCACCGCTTCATCTGCAGCAGCTGCAGAGTACCAGCCACGTAGTTCAGTGCTGCCAGCGTCATTTGCAACTATGACCACAGGCAGCAACGCTCCCGCTATAAATCAGGAACAAGGCTCTGCCTTCCTGATCCACGATCCTGCTGATCAAACACCTAGTATGATGTATGCAACGTATGGCAACAATAGTGCTAGGCCGCAGCAGGCATACATGTACCAACAACAGCAGCCGCAGTGGAGTGCGAGCAATAGTGCAGTCGTGTACAACTCACCTGTGTCTACTGGACCGTCGCACACCATCTCTGCCGGAGCGTCACAGTACGGTGTGAGACCCAGCGCTGGCATGCAAGCACCCCAGACCGCAGTATTCGCCCCAGTTCCGACATATGTCGGAGGCACCGCAGCTCGACCTGCGCCACGGACTGCTCCAGCGGCAGCTGCACAGATCAACATCGCCAGCAAGTTGAAGGGGATCGAAATTGCCGTGTTCACCGGAGAGAAGCGAAAATACGAGCGCTGGAAATCCGCTTTCAGCGTTTGTGTGGACCAGCAGCCGCTCTCCGCTGAATTCAAACTGCTGCAGCTCCGACAGTACGTGGCGGGTGAGGCACTGGATGCCATCGAGAGTCTCGGCTACTCGGCAGCAGCATACGATGCTGCTCTGCGGCGGCTGGAGCGACGCTTCGGTGGGAGTCGCCGGCGCCTTGCGGTTAGGATGGAAGAGCTGGAACGATCTCCACCTATTCGATCCGGTAGAGCCCAGGACCTGGAGCGCTTTACCGATGTGCTCGACATGGCAGTGGTGACGTTAAAGGATGCCGGTAGGCACACCGAGCTAGGTACCGGCATTCTCTACCAGCGGATCCAGCAGAAGCTGCCGGTGAACTTGTTGGCCCAGTATCGCCGCTGGATAGTACACCACCAAAAGGACGAATCGTTCGAGGTGCTGCTGGAGTGGCTGAATGCCGAAGCAGAAGTTCTTGCTGCCGCCACGGAAACTATCGAAGGCATCAGCCAGCAGCATCACGTCAGAAGCCAATTGTCAACCAGCGGGACAAGTCGAAATCAGCCGACTCGGACGGCAACTGCTCACAACGCTGTGCAACCGCGCACGACCACGTTCGTGACAGCTACAAACACCGCTGGCAACGTGCCGACCGCAAGGTCCACATGCCAATGCTGCAATGGCGGCGGGCACCCGATCTGGCGTTGCCCAGAGTTTGAGAAACAAACTGTAAGCCAGCGCTGGGCAGCAGCGAAGCGAAGCAAGTCATGCTATAGATGCCTTGCGACTGGACATAGCGGCAAGGATTGCCCACGGGACCGGGAGTGCGGTATCGACGGGTGCACGCAGCATCACCATCGCCTGCTGCACAGTGAGCCCCGTCAACCGCTTCCAGCGTCGTCAACCCACGCCTCCGGAGAGACTGGAGCCATGCAGCTGGAGAACTTCAGTGCTGTCTCCCTCGGAAACAGCACGAAGGGAGAGGAGAATAGCGTAGGGACGGTGATGTCGATTCGGACAGTTCCCGTTCAGCTATCCAACGGCAAGCGGTCGCTAACTGTTAACGCGCTGCTGGACGACGCCAGCACGCGCTCGTACATAGCGAGCAATGTTACGGCAGAACTCGGCCTGATTGGATCCAGCATGTCGCTGACCATCAGCAAGCTGAATGGACAGCAAGAGACCATTCACACTGTACCAGTATCGTGCACTCTGCGAAGTGTTGACGGAGCCACGTCGACGACTCTCCATGCGTGCACAATCGACCAGCCAACAGGCAACATGGAAGTTGTAGACTGGCACCACCTGGGAAAGCAGTACGCACATCTAGCCAACGTTGAGTTTCCGCCGCTACCGTCGAAACGCCACATTGACGTGCTCATCGGTGCCGACTATCCGGAGCTTCACATGGCGTATGAAGAGCGCTCGGGTAACAGCCATGAGCCCGTGGCGCGTCGGACGGCATTAGGTTGGACCTGCATCGGCCCAGTCAACCAACCAACGGACGAGTCCATCGAGCTGACTGCGGTGACCGTCGACCAATGCCACAGCGAGCTGAATCGTCTAGAGCCAAGCCGCTATTCCGACTGGGTACGAATGTGCCGTGTTCATGCTTGGTGTGTGCGATTCGCTACGAATTGCTCAGTACCACCCGCACAACGAGAGTTTGATGAATTATCGCCACAAGCTATCCGAGACTCTGAGGAGTTCTACATCAAGCGAGCGCAGCAACAGTCGCTACCAGAGTATGCTGCATTTAAGGCAGGCAAGCCGATCCCTGCAACCAGCAAGCTAGTCTCGCTCAAGCCGATGATTGACGACGCCGGCCTGCTACTCGTCGGAGGTCGACTACAGCATGCAGACTTCTTGACTGCAGAACAACGCAATCCGATCGTCCTACCACGAGGAGATCATGTGACACAGCTGATTGTCAAGGCATGTCACGAACGAGGATATCACGCGTTCGGTGTCAGCCATACGCTAGCCGAACTCTCGTCGCGCTACTGGATCGTCGCTGGCCGCGAAGAGGTGCGAGCTTGGGAAGCCAAGTGTGCGAGGTGCGCCCGGAACCGTACGAAGCCGGCAATGCAGGTGA